TGTTTCCAGCCACTACGAATCGCCGTGCCGCCGACTTTTCCGAAAAACTGTAGTCCCTGCCTGGTCCAGTCGGCTTGTCGATGTCTGCGCCCAGTGGACCTAGCGTCTCATCGCCTTCCATTTGCGCGCTGTTGCTCCCGAACGTCTTGCTCCATTTGTTCTAGGCACCGTAGGCTAAGCAATCTTTCATCGTCCCGCACAAGTAACGGGACCTCATCCTGGGTTGCATTTGTCGGGCGGGCTTTGTCCGTCTGCCTGTGCCATAGTGATGGTAATTTCGTTAGGATTTCAAGAAATGCAGATGTGTTCGATATCGAAGACCTCACTAGTGCTGAAGCTTCTCGCAGGTCTCAGCAGCTGTTGGACTCGTACTCAAGCGCCTACATCAATAGCTCGCTTCGCTCTCCTCTCTGCGGCACTTGTCACACGTGGCGGACGAAGCGACACTCGACAAGCGTGTTACTCATGAACGTTGGGTGGGTCGTCTCGCGACAGATGCTTTTGTATCTTGCTTACAATGCATCATAGGCAACATATTACAATCCTGATCTCGCGGATGCGGATACACTGACAGCAATAGCGACCCCATCGTCGCTATCTCACTTGATCTACGGAAGCGGTGGAACCTGCAACCAGGCGAGTCCACAGTGGCCAACGTATACGCAGAACTGGAGTTACTGACGCCGCATCGTGTTACAGTGGATGGAGATCACGTACAATGAGATCACGCAGTACGGGAAGACTCGTAATGAATGCGAGAGTTGTGGCGAGTACGATATTGGTCAGTCGTCGTTCCTTAGACTGCAAAGGGAGTTGTTGATTGAATATGTGTTTACTTACTAAACCTCAGCCCGTCTCTGTTTGAAGGCTTCGCCGACCTGAGTGTAGGGAAGTTAGAGGGTGTCGAATGGCACTTGATGAACAAGGATTGGTCGCCATGATTGAATGTCGCCAGATGTTTGGTCCTTGCGAAGGACGTATTTTCGGTAGATAGGATCGTGTTTGCTTGTGACCGACCGTAAGGTGGGCTATGTACAGATGGTTGTCGTTGTTGTGGTTATATAAGCATTGTCTGTATAGTATAATACTCGCGCGCACCATGAGGCGCATCGAAGAGCTGCTGTGGATATTTCCAGAACCTACATAATCAATCATGAGATTTACAATCAAGTGGTGTAAGCCGACTAAATCTGCTGAGGTAGAAATTGAGAGCACCAGCCAAGTTCAAGCCCGATCGCGATTCAAACCTTTCCCTCACGTATCCTTCCCCCTTTTGAGGTTTATAAAACCTCGCCAACGCATGACGACGTGTGACCTTCAAACGAGTTCTGAGAATTGTCATCCCGCTCGTTTACCGGTGGTATGTCCTGAACCGGGGTAAGACAGTCCGCGCCAGTCATTTGATTAAATTTATATCTAGGTGGTTGCAATCGAAGCCATCGCAGAGCCTACTCTCCTATTTGATATCTTTCAACTGCTTCTCGACCAATTGCTCTTGGAATGTGACTATAATGCGATATGCGCCACCTCGCTGGTATGCAGGGCACTTACGCATCCGTGCCGTGTACGCCTTTTCCGCAAGCTAAACATTACACAACCCGCTACCATGGAGAGACTCATCAATCTCTTGGAGGAGCCGTATATGCATACCTACTTCGCATGCGTCCAGAACTTGTCAATTGGACACTTTCTCCCCCACCAAGGATCGATTATGCGTCTCTTCCAAGCTCTTTCGAATTTGCAGACCCTTTCGCTCAACACGATCATTCCCAAACTGCGCCGCACCACGTCTAATGAAGTCTATGGCGTATTTCCAGTGAACGAATTCCTTGATGCACACCTTCCTGCGTCGATCACAACTCTCAACATTCGCGACTGCACGATCGGTTCATTTTCCCAACTGTGCACCATGCTTAGCTCTTTACCTCGCCTGTCCGTGTTGCGCCTATCCGGGTGGATTGGGATCTGGCGAGGTTGTGACACCAATATCGGAATGCATCCAGACCTCAACTTGGAACATCTGGTTCTCCAAGGGCTCAATGATTGGTGTGCTGATGCGCTGATGAAGTCAATGCTGTCCACAAGAATAATGCAGTCCTTGAAGTACCTGGGTTTCAAGCACTGTGCCTGCTCCGTTTCTGTCCTTGTGGAATTCCTTGCGAGATTACATTCCGTGGAGATGCTTAACATTGCTTTCAGCGTCCAAGAGGACGGTAAGCTTTTGATTTCACTCAATCCTAGCTGATTTCTCTAATGGGGTCTATCCCTTCGTTTCAGCCCGTGAATTTCTGGAAACCTTTTCCGTTCCCCGCTCCTCAAGTCTGCCATCTACGCTCGAGGTTTTGCAGATCTCCCTAGATCGCGACGGAACAACTTCACTCAACATGGGTCTGCTGGCAGACTTGCTTGATAACTTGACATGCAGCGGTCTCAAAACCTTGCATCTCTGTTTCGATGCGGACATCCTGGCTGGCGAGAGCATGGACGAGATAGCCGAGCGTCTAGATCCATTGAGCCGGATGGGTAACATATTGGGAAAGGGCTTTTTTCGCGGCCTCTCACTCGTACTGGTCAAGTTCAGTGGGAGGCGCCATTCAAGCATCAACTATGAAGTCGTGCAATGTTTGATGCGGGTCATCCAACATCGTGTCTGCTGTTCGCGTCCGTCGGCAGGCCCACAAGTACAACTTATAGTCTACGACGAAGAGTACGCATAGATCACCTAGATTCAGCCTCTGTATTGAATCCTACCACATCCGCAGTACACGCTTCTACGGGCTCTAGCTATTGACCCTTATCCTCCTATTATCTGTCATGCTCACTTCCTGCTCCCGCACAATCGAAGTATGTCAAGTATTCGCGGATTGCATGTATGTATTTAGTAATATACCATGCCATGAGGAGGCAGTCCTAGTCAATTTGAAGGTACGTAGGATCAGACATGCATGGTGTGGAAGAGCGTAAAGGTCATATCGGTGCATTCAGATGGCTGGTGGGGTCATGGTCCTTCTGATCGTTTCAGAATTAGAGTCAACATGGTTTTCGACAAAAGTACCATAGGCGGCGGCAGTATAGGTTCTGAACTTGAGACGATGCTAAGTGGTACTATACCAGAGTGGGAGATAG